TGAAACCAACCCTATTGGGCCCCTTGGAAGTCTCTTCCCTGAGTCAGTTGTCTTTTGTTTAGAGATGTTGACTATAAGAGCTTATGATGTGTTCTCAGTACCTAGTAGTTCAGGGAAAATGACTCATTAAAAAGAATACTCTTTGTTCTTCAGCTGCCTGTGTGCCTGGTGTACAAGTTGAAACGAGATCGTTGCTCAGTAGCTGCATGTACAAATTCAAGCCAAGACAAGGAAAATGAAATTAGCTCTCCGGTTTTAGTTGAGGTTTCAGAATTTGCCAAGCACTTATATTGGTAATGCATAAAACAAAATGAGAGTTCTGTCCAAAATCTTTCCACAAAAATGAGATCTATGATGTGATGGTTGCACAGAAATATCTCTCCTGAATAGCAAGAGCAAAGGCAGTAGGGCAGTTTCTACAGTGATTTTGCATATTTATAAACTCCTAAAGTTGGAAGACTTTTTTTTTTTTTTTTTTTTTTTTTTTTTTGTTTTTTAGAGCACATGTGCTAGCCAGAGAGAGAGACAGAGAGAGGGAAAGTGAGAAATTGCCCCACAGTGGGGGATGGTCACACCAAAATACCTTTTCCTCCATTCTCCTCTCAGGATTTTTGGGCACACATGTTTGCACATGTGCCAGGAGTGATTTTCAAGCCACAAGGTCTGGGATTTGAACCGCAGTTGACCATGTGGGAGCCCAGCACCTTAACCACCCCACCAGTTGGCCCCGGTAATTTCTATTTTTGGCCCTGGTAATTTATATTTTTGTCATATGAAATTGTGTTTAGTAAGTATCCAGCTGGTTAATTTGTGATAATTCTTCACCTTGGGGCCGTCAAGTGGCATGGTCGTTAAGGGCACTGGACTCCCACATGGCTGACCACAGTGCGAGTCTCAGACCTGGTGGCTTGCTTTCTCACTTTGCCCCTGTCTCTCTCTCTCTCTCACTCTCACTCTGTTCCTCTCTCATCAAATCAAAATAAATAAATAAATAAGTAAACAAATAAAGTTAAATAAAATAGGGCTGGCAGGTGGTGTGGTGGTTAAGAAGCTGGACTCCCACATGGCCAACCATGGTTTGAGTCCTGGACCTGGTGGCTTGCCTTCTTACTTTCCTTCTCTTTCTCTCTTGCTCTGTCCCTCTCTGGTCAAATTTAAATAAATAAACACATAAATAAATAAAGTTAAATAAAATAATTATTTAAAAAATAATAATTCTTCACCTCCACCTTTTTTTTCTTTGCAAGGAGATTTTTTGATAGGGCGTATGCACTTGCTGGAAAAACAGAGACAGAAAGCAAGATATTACCACCACCACCCCAGGGGGATGGCTACATGGCAATCTCTTCTCCTTTCTCCTCTTGGGATCTTGGGCACGCATGCACACATACCTCCTGTGCGTTTAACAAGCTGCCAGATCTCAGACTCGAACTAAGGTCAGCCAGGTGGAAGTCAAGTACCTTAACCACCATGCCACTGCCAGCCCATTGGTTATTATCATTATCTTTTTTTTTTTTTTAGATGTTTTTGCTATAGGGCACATGCACTTGCCAAAGAGACAGACAGCGAGAAATCACTCCCCAGGGGGAATGGCCACGCCACAATCCCTTCTCCGTTCTCCTCTCGGGATCTTGGGCACGTACACACACATGCCCGGCATGAGTTTAAGCCACCAGGTCCGGGACTCAAGCTGAGGTCAACTACATTAGAGTCCAGTGACGTAGCCATTGTGCTAACTGCTGGTCCCATGATTAACTTTTTATAGAATTATACAAACTAACTCAGATAGGGTAATTCATATTTAGGGATCAGATAATTCATTCCATTATGTTATGCGTAGGATTTATAAATTGTATCCAGCAGTGGGATGCTGCTTTATTTCTGAACTCAAACCAGTTTTTTTTTATTCTTTTTTTATTATTATTTTATTCGTTATTATTTTTTTCACATGAATTTCGCCAGAGAACGACAGAGAGAGAGAGAGAGAGAGAGAGTGCTCGCACGCTCGCAAGCTACCAGGTTCGGCACTTGAACCGTGGTCGGCCATGTGGGAATTTCAGGACCTTAACCACCACGCCACTTGCTGGCCCCATATTTTTTTTTTAATTCTTTTTTTTATTATTATTTTGTTTATTTATTTATTTTTGTTTGTTTGTTTGTTAAAAGACTATTTTATTCCAGGGCTATCAGGTGGTATGGTATTTAGGAGCACTGGACTCCCACATGGCCAACTGCGGTTCAGGTCCCAGACCTAGCAGCTTGGTTTCTAACCACCTCCCCCCTCCCCATCCCCATCCCTCTCTGGTCAAATGAAAATAAATGCATACATAAATACATAAATAAAATAGATGAAATTCAGCAAAATATTTCTTTTAAAAAAGGATGTTTTATTCCATTTATTAATTTTTAAAATAATTATTTAATTTATTACTAGTAGTATTATTTTAGGTCACCAGAGAGAGAGAGAGAGGGAGAAAGTGAGAAAGCAAGCTGCCGGGTCCAGGACTTGAACCTCAGTTGGCCATATGGGAGTCCAGTGCCCTAGCCACCATGTCTCTTGCTGGCTCCTCAGACTAGTTTTGAGGAGCTGGGCATAATCCTTAGAGTGAAGTAAGACTCTCTCTGGGAAAAAACAAACAAACAAACATGGAGTTGTCATAGGCTGCAGATGGGCCTGTGTACAATAACAGAATTGACTTACTCAGAGGAAAAGTTATCTTCAGACCATAAATGACTTTCTGGTTCTTCTTCATTGTCATGGCCCTGGCGTGTTTTGCTGAGCATCTGGTGTAAGGAACTCACCTTACTTCCCCTCTGAATGCTATCTGTCTTCCCTTCATGCTCTCCTTCTGTGTCTCATTAATACAGTAACTGACTGGTGCATTTTTGTCCAGAATTCTTGACTTTAAATTTGTACTAAAGGAACTTCCAGCCTTTTCTGAATCTTCCTGACTTCATAATCTTTGCATCAGGGGCCATTGAGAGGCCTGGCAGGATGAGCGATGGTGGGAACTGAGGGCAATGAGCCTGGGGAAAAGTGGGGCTTGACGTCTTACAGATTAAGAAGCTGCTGTCATTGTGGGCGTTCAAGGATAGGAGGGACACTTGGAAAGCCATTTTCACAGAGGTTAAGTTGCACAGCTATATAGAGTTGAGGATGATGCAGAAAGATACTGAAATCGAAGAGTGGATATCCAGAAATGTCCAAGGGTAAGGTCTTGAAATCTAGACAGAGTTGTACCAGAAATAGGAAGGTAAACCTGAAGACATTCTACAAAAGGAAATGGCAGCACACAGTGACAGGTCACTTGTTCACTGTATCTATCTATATATGTGTATCTATATACGTATATGTACATATATATGCATCTAGAGATATGTATCTATATATATGTATAGCTAGCCAGGTAAGAGAGAAAGGGACTCACTCACTATGAAATTATGTTAATATTATGAAAACCCCAAGGCATTTTGAGTTCCTGATGTCTTTTGTTATATAAATGATATTTATCATAATATTAATAGAAGACATAGTTTGTTCTGTTAATTCTTTGAAGATTGGTCATCTAGAATGTATACTTAAAATCGTACTCTGTGCTTAGCTGACTCTGCCTATTAGGGTTTACTGTACTCTCAGGGTTAGATTCCTAATTTATACTTCTAATGTGACTAAGAA